CCTATCAAGGGAATCTAACTTTCTGAATTACCAAGGCCATGGTAATTTCACTTTGCACCCTTTTTATTGTTTTGCTGCTCCTCCACTCCTGTCTTTATTTCCATACACAAGGTACACTGCATGAGAGTTTCCAGAACAAGAAATTGCCATCCTTTTCTGGCATTAATGAATTAATTATCAACACAAATGCCTGAGGCAAGCTCATGTGATGCCACTGAGAAGCTGCAAAGCAGATTTCTGAGCAGCACTGCTCCCTCTATAGCAATGGAAATCCACACCCCAAAGTCACTGTTGGCAAAGCGAAACAAAAGCATCGGCAAATATTGTGAATTTATYGTTTCTCCACCACAGAATCAAGGTCACTGGGCTTGCAAACCACTCCTTTGTACTTCGTAAGGCTGTAAAAAATTACTGTGCAGTAAAGCAAAATCAGGGTAAGGATGCCAGGGATGCAGGAAAGGCAAACTCAGGATGAGCAGATAAAGCTCAAAATCACAAAAAACAAAGAATTACCTGGAGATCAAATGTACAGCCTATGGCTCCAAATTTWCTCCATTTTAACTTTGGTGCAGATAAAAAGACAAATTTTAGCTACTCTCAGTTCTCCAACRTAAAATGGAAGCAAAACCACGGCCCTTCCTCACAGGAAATTTTTTCTTATTACTAAATATAGGAATATTTAAGTACACAGACCCATCCTATAGGATTTTTCCCTGAGAGAATAACTTGAGCATAAAACCGGAAAAAAACAAACAAAAAAACCACTGTTCTTAGGTGTTCTGTTAAATAGCACTACAAATTTTGTTTCCTTAATTTTTTTTAGCACCATGGAGAACAAAATTTTCCTTTATTTTATGATCAAGAATCAAATAATAATAGTAGTTAAGTGTTACACAGGGCTTTGTCCATACCAATGAATTTCTCCTCCTGGCTAGCTGTTGAYATGAAAATATTTATTTCACCTTTGCTCAGTATTCTTAATGTATTTTAAATATTTAAACTCTGTTCTCTYATTCAGATTTACTTATTTCCTTTGAGATGTGCATTAATAAACTGACCCATCTGTACCTGTGTGCTGACAAAAGAAATTACAGATTATTTACTGACACACCTCTGAGAACAGCAGGAAGGGAGAGAGACTAAATCCATATTTCTCCAACAAAATGTTTTCTGTTTTCTGGACCCCACCCCAAAATAATCGTGGACTCTTCTCGAACGTCCTTCTGCAGTGTCCTCCAGCTCCATCATGCAGAGCAGCGTATTGACAAGGCAATCACACCGAAGGGGAGCATTTATCTAAACTCTGAAATCCTCAGAACTCATCCATGCTCTGGGAATTGGATTTTYTCCACGATAGCGGTGTGATGTGGGCAGATTGATAGAACCAACTGCGTGTTAATAAACCAGATGGACTTTCAGATAGCCGACACACAAAAACCAGCCCAGCRCACATGTCCTGCAGGTAAAACCCCTCACTGTGCCACTGCCAAGCTGTGAGGGGGATATAAATTCTCCAAGAGAGGTCTAAAGATGTCACATGTGAATAATCTATGAAGGACTGAGTCAGCCCTCCTGACAATAACAGATTCAAAGGCAGAAATATCCTCAAAATCACATTGGAGGTGCTCAGGAAAGAGTTGAGGGGTGAAGATTGAGAACACTTGCATTCTTCCTTGCTCTTGTGAATGYATTATAGATGAATGTCAGCCTCCAGCAAATCAATCACTGCACCATTCACAGGGCTTAGATTGATATAACAACACCTAAAAGTTATTTTTAAAGGGCAATGTGGAGTCAAACTCCGCAGGTTACGCCGCGAAAAATAAAGGCAAAAATGAAACGCCTGTGCCACGAGGGAGAATGTTTCTGCTTGCTGAGGCCTCACCTTTCCTTTGGCTATAGGACAAAATAGATCAAGGAATTCTAAGTTTATATTAATCCTATTGGGTCATATGGAAGCATCCTCGTTGTTATCTATAGATCGTTAACAACACCGAGCCCGTGATCGTTACTTTTACAAACAGCCACATTGAAATTATTTATCATCAGCACTGGGGGACATCAGAAGTGTCTTAATGCTGAAAGTGACTTTGGATTTGGGTCTACTTGCATTTCAGACGAATGAAAACACAATTAATCTTATTTTAAATATCCTTCAGTATTATTCTGGAAACGTTCTTGCAGCCCGTGCTCCATCTCTGTGTTACAGCAGAATGAAATAACTCAGGACCAAGCATGGATATTGCCTTGCAGACACCCTGACACATGAAAGGAAGAGGAAACACTAGAATAATTACTCCATATTAATTGTTTTTCACCTTCACCATTTGGAAGGACTGTAATAAAAGCTGGAGAACTGAAACTGTCAGGTTGCTGGGATAAAACCTATTCCTGCCCAGTGAAAGCTCTGAAAATCGKAGYTTTTATAAGAAGSTGTGAGGAAAACCCACTTCAGGAGYTATTCCAGCCCCATCTGAGGCRGGCTGGGAGATGAAGKGTTGGCGTGCMAGAGGGAAAAATCAAGGAAATCAAGGTCACATCCACCAGGGAGGCCAGGAGAAGGCATCCCACCAGGATTTGGATCAKATGGAATGTTCTGCACCATCTCTCTGCTCTGCAGGGAGTTTGCTCAGCCCTTTGTCTCAAATCTGGGCTTGCCTTGATGCCTTCAGCACCTGGGCAGAGCACAGCATCACATCGAGAGGGAATGGAGCAGAGAGAATTAAACCCCACACCACCAAAATGTAGAACAACAAACCAAACAGCAACAAAGAGGATACATTCGATCTCAGTTGAACACAATAAAATCCACTGAGGAGGAAAAACCACCTCGTTCCTGTACATAGAGGGTGCTACAAGCAGTTCACAATGTTATTATAATGTCTTGTTCTTTTCTCTTCCTCTGTGGAGGCCTCTGAAGCCTCTGGAAATGGCATTTTGAGAGAATTTCACAAATGGGGCAGTGTCCAGGACACACTGAAAGAAAAGGGAAGAGGTTGGGAAAACTGCAGCTTGAAAWAACTGGATTTGTTAAGCCTAAGTCTGGATGGTTATACAGGGGAAGGTATTTCTGCATTCTAAGCCTTTCAGAGTTAATAAAAAGCTAAAATTCTCCCCAAGACTCCCTCCCCCTTATTCCCCCTGCCCTCCTGCTTTTCATAAACACATCTGTAAGTCAATGAAATGGACTCATTATAGGAAATAAGTTTATCACTTAGATGTGGCACGTAAATATTGCACTCTCTGCAAACATCTGTAATAGGCTACGAGGCAATTAAAGAAATCAGAGYGAAAATTTATAAAAAATCTCTACCAATTTTATGTACAGATGCATTTGCTGGAAAAGGCATTATTCACTGAATGCAGTTAAAGTGCAGTAAATCGACTTTGAGAAAAATCACAAGACTTTTCAATAAAAAGACAAAATAGCAACACTGCTAAGACAGCAGGTGGTAAAACCAGATACAGGAATGTTCCCCCATATAAAGAAATAAAACAAAACAAAACTGTGTGATTTTACTGCTCTTTTTCCAGCAGAAAAACATCCCTAAAGAAGTCAGAAAATAGGCTCCTAAATTTGCTCATATGGAATACCAGAGATTGAAAGGCTGACTTGGAAATACATGACTCAGAAAACCTAGAGAAGGGATGGTGCTTAGGCTTAATAAACTGGGGTTTTTTTGGTTTTTTTTTTTTTTTTTTTTTTTTTTTTTTTGCTTGAGCCTGTGAATGCAATTTGGGGCCAAGCCATGACACAGTTGGGGAACCACCACAGGATATTTAATTAAATCCAGTAGTTTGAATCTGGAGCAATTTATTCCTGAATACTTCAAAAGTATTAAGAGCCTGTCAGTGGGACAGGAAAACCCAAATCATTTTGAAAGAAGGAACTGTGGGTTTTTTTTTAAATAACACCCATRGGAAAAACTTCAAGAGTCTCTTGTGAAAGCTGGAGGTGAAGGCTTGGAGATCCCACAGGGAGGAAATGGGTACCTGCTGGACCCCTCTGTCAGGGGAGGTTCAGGCTGGACATCAGGAGTTTTGTCAGTGAAAAGTGTTCAGAAGTGACCAGAGGAGTGGTCAGTCCCCATCCCTGGAGGTGTTCAAGGATTGACTGAAGATGGCACTCAGTGCTCTGGGCTGGGTGATGACGGGTGAGTGGTAAAAGGCTGGACTCCATGGTCTTGGGGGTCTTTTCCAACCTCAATGATTCTGTAATTCTGTAAATCCTTCACTCTGCAGCAGGACCTGCCTGTCTACACCATCCAAGCCTCGCTAAACCACAATTCCTTTTTCCTGGACTAAATCACTTATTCACAGCATGCCAGCCCAGAGCACAGCTGGATTATGGACTTGAGGAGTGTGTTAGATCCAGAAACTGAGCAAACCCAGCACAAACATTAAAGAGAGCGCAGGAATTCCCACAGAAGAACTCGTTCATCACGGAGCAGAGGGCAGGATGGAACCCTGGAGCCTCCTCCACCCTTAACTGAGCAAACCTAATCACAAACATTAAAGAGAGCACAGGAATTCCCACAGCAGACCTTGTTCATCACAGAGCAGAGGGCAGGATGGAGACCTGGAGCATCCTCCACCCTCACATGGGGATGCTCCTGCTCCAGGTTCACATCCTGCTGTGCTCCAGCACTGCACAGGCATCTGAAAGGGTGCTGGGAGGATAACACAATGCTGGGAGGGTGACAACGATGCTGGGAGGATAAAATGATGCTGGGAGGGTAACAACGATGCTGGGAGGATAAAATGGTGCTGGGAGGGTAACAAGCCTGGCAGTGCCAGCAGCAGCCCTTCCTGCAGGTTCCTAGCGGGCAGCAGGGAGCTGGGAATCCACAAAGCAGACTGAGAAAGGCAGAACCAAGCACTGAGCCTTTCAGTCAGAGCTCTTCCAGCAGCTCCATCATCACAGGAGAATGAGAGAGCAGGGAGGGGAGTTGGGGAGGAAGGAGAGCAGGGAAATGTGAAGGAAAAGGCAAAGCACGTACCTGACAGGGGCACCCCGGGACTGMGCAGGCTTCAGCATCACCGTGATGGTGGTGTCGGTCTCGTTGAGGGGAGAGTCCGTGTCGTACTCGGGCATGGACGGGGCTGTGGCACAACAAAGAGCAACGCAGTCATTCTGTGTTTATGCTGATATATGAATTTTGTTTGGGTTTTTCTTTTATTTTTTCTTTTTTTTTTTTTGTTTATGCTGATATATGGATTTTGATTGGGTTTTTATTTTATTTTTTTTCTTTTTTTTTGTATGTGAACTTGTTTATTGTAAAGATGTTTTGTATTTTATAAGGATTTAAATAATCAATAATTAGTTTTTATTTGTGTATAATGTATAGAATGGGTACATTTTGTTGTTTTTTAATGGTTTTTAGTTTTTTGTGAATTTATTTATTTTTTATTTAATTGTATTTTTTTTTTTAGAGTTCTTTCGTTTACTAAAGCAAACAGATTTTTGTTGTCCGAGGCCTGCATTCCTACCTGGCCTGCACCAGCTCCTGCCTTGGGTGTCATTGTATTTACATTTCCCAAATGAAATATCAAAATACTTCCCAGTGTTCTGGCCAGAATGATCAAAAGCACTTCAATATTCATACACCCTTTTTCCATTCAAATCAAACAGGAATCGGACACCCAAACCTTCAAGCTGGCTCTGAAAACCCTTGAGTTTTTAAGGTTTAGTAATCCTTTGAGGTGGGATCATTCCTTCAGGTTTAAAGGTGAGGAAAGAAAACTGCATGAGCTCTACTTAAAAAAACCCACAGAGTGAATCAGTGGCAGAGATACGAAAAGCACCCCCAAATCCCAAATCTTTTCCCCTCTTCTGGTCAGTGGATTAGCCCTCTCACATCTTAAGTTTTAAATGCTCAGCTGTAAGCTGTGTCCCCTTGATTAGCTGGAGGCTGTGCAAAGCACAAAAGATGAGAAGAGAGGAGCACAAATTAGGTTATTATTATTATTATTATTACTATTATTATTATTATTATTATTATTATTATTATTATTATTATTATTATTATTGCCAGGTAATTTTTGCCCCCAAACCCATGGCACCCCCATCTCTGGTGGTTTCCCCCAAGCAGCACAGACAACCACAGAATAAAAACCCACTCAGCCAAACCCCAATGTCTGCTTCTGCTTAGTTATCTTCTCTTAGGATCATCCCATAAAAGTATGACAGCTTTCCTTAGGAAATAYATTTTACTTTTTATATTATTTCTCCCTTCCCCAAGAGCAGGCWTCTGTTTGGGACAAGTTTTGCCACTGAAGGACTGAAGGGATCACAAGGTCAGAGCAGCACCAAATTTGTTCCAAAGAGGCAGGTTTTGTTGAAATAACTTGAAAGTATAAAGCAAACAGAAGAATTCACACAAACAGTTCATCTGCAGCTCGCAAGGGCAAGCTGCATTGTGGGGGAGCCCAYATTTAATCCTCTCACAGTGATTTCCACTGTAATCCTGTTTACAATCAGGATTTTTATCTAAATGCCTGAAAACTGTCAAGAACRGGGGCTGCTATTATCAGCTCAGCTKCTGGCTKCCCTGTCAATAATCTGGGAGTGRGTTCAGGATGGATGTCAGCTCCTTAAGGAGGATTGCTCTGGAATGGGGTGCTCTGCATCTCCTTGAGAGGAGTCCCCTCTTGGGTGCTTCTGCACCAGAGACCCCTGCACAGGCTGCAGACCCCAGAATGGGTTGGAAGGGACCTTAAAGCTCATCCCATTCCACCCCCTGTCATGGCAGGGACACCTTCCACTGTCCCAGGCTGCTCCCAGCCCCGTCCAGCCTGGCCTTGGGCACTGCCAGGGATCCAGGGGCAGCCACAGCTTCTCTGGGCACCCTGTGCCAGGGCCTCCCCTCCCTCACAGGGAACAATTCCTTCCCAATATCCCATCCATCCCTTCCCTCTGGCACTGGGAAGCCATTCCCTATGTCCTGTCCCCTATCCCTTGTCCCAAGTCCCTCTCCAGCTCTCCTGGAGCCCCTTTAGGCCCTGCAAGAGGCTCTGAGGTCTCTCCAGAACCTTCTCCTCTCCAGGTGAGCATCCCCAGCTCTCCCAGTCTGGCTTGGGGAGCATTTTGGGGCATCTCCATGGCCTCCTTTGGAATTCTTACAACAGCTCCCTGTCCTTCCTGGGCTGAGGACCCCAGATCTGGGGGCAGTGCTCCAGGGGACAGAGGAGAGGARGAAAATCCCCTCCCTCAACCTGCTGAGCCCCTGCTCTGACCAGAGGGGAGAGTGCTCCAGCCCAGCTCAGTGCATCCACCCAAACAAAAACACTCACACATCACTACAGCACTGATGTCTTTCCATTAAAAAAAAAATATATATATATATATATATATATGTAAAACCTCACAAGGACATTCCTATCACTGCAAAAATCCCTCTTCTCTGTAATAACCTCGAGGCTGCCTTTTAGGAACAACTTCAACAGTATTTTCAAATTATGTGGAAAATGTAAATGTCCAAAACTGGATCATGCAATGAGATAATCTGATGTCAGAGACTTCCCAAATGCTTGCACTGCATTATACCCAGTTTATAAACCCAAGGTTTATACCCACCTGTTGAGAGCCAGGTATTTGGAGGATGGGGGGTAAAAAAGAAAATAAACCAAGCTCAGTGTGCATATAGTTGGGACTCGTGCAGGCTGCTAAAATTATTTGGGCACTTATGGAATAATAAAATACAAAGAAAGTGAATCAAAGGGGAAAAGTCTCCAACCATTGCTGAGTTTTTTATTTCTCTATCACAAGGGGATAGAGCACACGCTGTGCTGTCCCTTCTCAGCAGGRCTGCAGAAACCCCACAGCCCAGGGAGCTGTTTGGACACTTAATGGCCTTTCCTTCAGGTGATTTAGGGCTTTTGTGCTAAATGTTAAAGGTTCAAACCCSGAGCAGAGGGAAGGGATGCGTTTGGCTTCCTTAAAATGTACCCTGTCACTTACTGCTCACAACTGGCTTTTATTAACTGGTTTTGAAATAAGGGAGTAGAAAATAGATACAGTTGTGTGCTCTTTTCTGCAGCACACAGCCGTAATTTCAAGCATTACCAGKGTCCTGAATGTCCCAGATGTTTATTTTGGCTTTACTGAAAAAACACTTCAAGTAATCCAAAAAAATGACAGCTTTTCTCTCTGTCAGAGAACCTATTTTAGTGCTATTAATTACATGTTAAAATTTAAATCCATGTCTATCTGCCCAATATCACCTCTACTGTCTCTTTATCCATATTTTTTTGATAACTGGCCTGTTTCCTCTTGTTTTTTACACCTTCTCTTTGCCATGCCTCCTTATTTTAGTGTCTTTCATATTCCCATCTGCCTACCTCAAGCCCTCCCTCTGTTCTTACTCATAAAAACCCCAAGGAAAACAGCTTTCCTCCTTTATTTTTAGCCTCTTTGAACTATTAATTCCATCACTTCATTACATCCATTTTGGTACATCCTGAAAATAAAAAACACATTATGGAGGGAGCTTCCCCAGCCGGGCAGATGATGCTAACAATAACTGCTACAGGGGGTAGTTCATTTGTAAAACTAATGATGATCCTCATTTAAAATGCTCCACAGACATCCAGGGATATTTAGGACACCCACAAATAAACCCCTGTATTTGTAAGCTGAATAAACCAAGGTTTGTGCTGTTTTAAAACCCTATGAAACTTGTGAGGTGTTGAGCTGAATATTTTTAATAATTTTATGCATCAGCTTGGAGTCTAAAGAACAAAGCCCTAGAAAGTTGTCCTAGGTTAGCTRAGTATTGTATTCCTATCATCTGCTTATGTTAGAGGAAAGTTAAACAACCCTTCTGTAACTATACATTAGTCGAGACTGCTCTGGTTTGTTTGGTGATGTTCCTCCCTTCAAGGACAATGGGAGGGAAAGGGACAAGACACTAAAGTTTGTTTTTTTCCTTCCGGGGAGGCTTGGGTTCAGTGGTGGAAAAGAAGCTGCCTGCTCTCTGGGACGGCGGTTTTTTTTTTTTTTTCTCCCTTTCTTTGGACTTATTTTTTCCTTGAATTTTTTTTTCGTCTGAGAATTGGAGGATTTTTCCCATGGCACGACAGCCGAGAAAGATCCTTCAGTGAACCACCAGAGAGAGAGACTCTGTTCAACCCCTCTGGGGGCCCCGGATGGGAAGCCACTCCCAGGAGGGAAGAGAAAGGCTTTGGGATC